AGAGGTTAATATGTGATTCAGTTAATCATAAAATTGAATTATTTAAATTTTAAATTTATGTTGGATGTTTTGATGTTATAACAATGCTATTAAGGAAATGAAGGGGATATTAAATAAAAATATGTAACAATTATTATGTCATACTTTTATACTTTTAAGGAAATGACGCAGGTCTGGTTTGATAAAGAATGTGAATATTTCAGCTGTGAAAGAAATAGGCTCTTGTCTGTCTTCAGGTCTTATAAGGATCCAGTTTCATTGCAGAGATATACACAGACAAGAAAGGACTTTCAAGAGACACCAGTGTTGAGAAATAAGAAGCCAAACCATAAATTTATTTCATAGCGTCAGTACTTACAAGTGATAACATGTATTCAATTCATGTTCCGTCTCTGAAGCGGTCATAGACGTTACACAATAGTAAAACGTTTCGGTTGTTTTTCAAAAGACTTTCACAAAGTTCATCACGTCGACCGCATACATCCATAACACAGGGGTGTAATCATTATATGAATATAAATATATCTAAGACGGATGCTGACTTAGCTGACCATGAAAGTACACATTAAGACGAAATTGACGAAGGTTTTCACAACACGACTCAGTTCTTCCACAATTCCTTTTGATATATAAAATAAATGCATTATTTGGTAATATTATTCAGGGCCATATTGATTCTGTATACTTCCCCGACTCATGTTCGGCGGGAATCATTGTTCCCTTGCATAAAAGTGGGATTCTAATAATTCATTCTAATAATAATTTCCGAGGAACTGCAAATTTAAGCATCTTCAGTAAAATATATGTATCCATTTTGAATAAACGTCTTACATTTCAGAATAATGCCTAAACTTGTGGAATCACAGACCGGATTTCGTTAGGGATAATCCACCAATGACAATATAATATTATTTATTTTACAATCAGTTATTAAACGGTATACATCAAAGAAAAGAGGTAAGGTTTATACTCTATTTGTAGATTGTGCAAAAGCTTTGGGTCTGGTTAATAGGTCGAAATTATGGACGGTTTTGTTAAGGAAAGGGGATGTCCATAAATGTTAAACGGAGTACTAGCTATACACAATTGTGTAAATTCATGTGTTAAGTCTAAGTATGTATTCGAATATGTTTGACTGTGAGTTGGGTGTACCACAGGGTTGTGTCCTTAGCTCATATCAATTCTCTATCTTTATAAATGAATTAGCACAGGCGATTGAATCCACGGGTAAACCGGGTATCCAGTTCATCAAGATACAATTGAACTGTATAGTTTGCCGACGATGTCATTTTGATATCTGACACTATTTGGCCTGCAGAAAAGAATATGCATTTTAGTGAGTGAGTACAGTTTTGCGCCGCTTTTAACAATATTCCAGCTATATCACCAGAAATGGGCTTCACACATTGTACCCATGGGGAATCGAACCCGGATCTTCGGCGTAACGAGCGAACGCTTTAACCACTAGGCTACCCCACCGCCCCAAATATGCATTTTAAATCATATTGCAATAACCACCAGTTAGCAGTTAAAATGGATACGACTAAAATGGTTGTCTTCAAGAAGGAAATTTTATACTAAAATTATGCCTGTTTTACTATATGGGTTTGAGGTTTGGGAGGTTTGATAGTGTAACAAATATAGAAAATATTCAAATGTTTGCATGTAAACGCTTCCTTGGAGTGAAGATATTGATACCAACGTATACCGTATTGGGTGAATGTGGCAGAATGTGGCAGATACCCTTTTTTTATTTTTGCATTTTTACATTTTATGAAATTTTGGCTTAGATTATTATATATGCCTAATGCAAGAAATCAAAAGAAGTGTTACTGCATGCTTTGACAAGCGTTCTTTTAATTGGGCCCCCAGATATAAGTATTACATACATACAAAAATACATACATACATACATACATACATACATACATACATACATACATACATACATACATACATACATACATACATACATACATACATACATACATACATACATACATACATACAGTACACACTGTATACATGATTGTATGTATGTGTGCAACTTAAATTTGGCTGTGTATGGGACTATATATAGACTGACAAGGCAGAAGGCCTACTTTCTTCATTGATAATTGTATTGTATCGACATCTTATTATCTTATTATATATGCCAAATGCAAGATATCCAAAAAAGTGTTATTGCATGTTCTTACAAGCATACTTTTAATTGGGCCCCAAGATTTGAGTATTACATACATACATGCATACATGCATACATACATACATACATACATACATACATACATACATACATACATACATACATACATACATACATACATACATACATACATACATACATACATACATACATACATACATACATACATACATACATACATACATACATACATACATACGATGGTTTACAGCTTGAAAACGCTCATTCGGTCAATTCCACTCTGTTGCGCTTGTCAAGCCAGTCAAAACCAACCTTGCTTCATTCGAAAACACAGATATGGCCAACGATGATTGGTTAAGCGTTGACGCTCTTGACGTCAACGACGTCTTGCTGTAACGTGACGGTCCGTCAATGGGGGGATAACACGTGGACGTCCGGCCTGCAGGGTCCATCTATGTAACCGATTGCAAATCATCCGTCCGCTCACTTTAACACCTGTACCTCTGTGAAGCTCATCTCCAGTTTGAGAGGAACGTTGACCACGGTTTCGTAAACAGAACAGAACTTATATTATCCCCGGTACACGCACACACACGCACGCACGCACGCACGCACGCACACACGCGCACACACACATAGATAGGTTGGCGGGATGGTTTACATGGATGACTACAGTTTTCATGATGGCATTACAGCTTTTTAAAACGCTAATTTGTTTAGTGTTACACAATTCAATAAATTATAACACTTTGGGGTTTTAAACATAAGGGTTTGTGATGCAGGTTTCCCGATGATGTTTGAAGAAAGGGCAGAGAAACGTGTAATAAAATTCATCGCCAACATCACTCGTGTCGCAAATGTTATATGCAGCAAACATCCTTTCCACATCCGCCATAAATCTCTATTAGCAGATATCAAGAGTAAATGTTTGTTTGTTGGTTCTTTTTCTTTAACGGCGGATGATGGCGGTCTGAACTAGATTACCCGTGAAGATCACGGTTGGAATTGATCCTCAGTAACCCATGCTTGTCCTTAAAGGCGACTAACGGGATCGGGTGGTCAGGCTCGTTGACTTGGTTGACACATATCGTCGTATCCCAATTCCGTTGGTCGATGTTCATGCTGTTGATCACTGGATTGTCTGGTCCAGACTCGATTATTTACAGACCGCCGCCATATAGCTGGAATATTGCTGAGTGCGGCGTTAAACGACAACCAAACCAAAGACTTTTTAATGATATATTTAGCAGGGATGAGTGTAACATGGTTGCAATAGTCCATGCATTCTGTGACAGGGGAACTTTCACGCACTGTAGCAACGCACTGTAGCAACGAAGCCTGTGCTGAAATGGCTAATCCACCTAATACTCCATTGCTATTTCAACGGGCGGAGGGTAGCCTCGAGCTTATAGTGTTGACTCATCACCTGGCGGACCCGTCTAGGATCTGATCCCACTATGGGAATGTCATGTGTACGTTGGTGTTCACAATGGATACTTTGCCCTGGACTTTCAAAACCAACTTAAAACAAGGGCATCCTGCAAATTATTAACGTGAATCTGTGTAGCTTTATGAACACGAGAGTTGAGTTGAAAATCTATATCTGTCACAAAACCGACGTTATTTTCCCTATCTCCATCAACAATCTTGTTCATGGTTTCCTTTGAACTGAAATCGGAAATACGTTTTGAAGACCACCCAGCAAGAGTTGTTTGGTTGGTTTGTTGTTTAACGCCGCACCCAGCAATATTCCAGGTCTATGGTCTGTAAATAATCGAGTCTGGACCAGACTATCCAGTAATCCACCATCCAACAAGAGTGAATGAGTGAGTGAGTGAGTTGGGAGTCAACTTGTCAGCTCAATTTAATCTTTACAGTTATGAGACACCGGATACGATCTTGCAAACCAACAATCTTAATTAGGTAGGTTCGGGAGTCGAAGATCGAATCCTGGTACTACTAAGAGATGCAACTCTGCATAAATCAGAGGCCTCTAGACTAACCGTGGCCCAAACGAATAAGGGAAGTTGATAGCTGATATACACAAGCCGAATAAAAGTCTACATCGAGGTTGTATTTGCGAGATCAAACGCAATGCCTTCGATACAATATTGACAGTCACCCGAGCAGCAAGAGAGACGGGGTGGGAAGTGAATGATATAGGTAGCGACAAACAATATTAGTGACAGACAAGTAAAGGTACAGTCATGGACAGACATACCTGAAGAGACACAGACATGGAAAGACAACACATCAGAGAAACAGACATAGAAATACATAAAGTAAGAGGCACAGACATGGAGAGCCACATATCGAGAGACACGGGCATGGAGAGAACACACCTAGAGACACAGACATGGAGAGACACATAGCGAGAGACACGGGCATGGAAAGAACACACCTAGAGACACTGACATGGAGAGACACGCAGCGAGAGACAGAGAGACATAGACATGGACAGAACGCAACAAGAGACAGACACGGAAAGACACACATTGAAAGACACAGACGTAGAGAGACATCCTTAGCGAGAGACATCACCATGGAGAGAGACAATCATTGGGAAAAGCGCAATGAGAGACTAAGCCACGGAGAGACACCCAGACAGGGACATCGGCCTGGAGAGACGCGCATTGAGACACCAAAATCAAACACATGAAGACATATAGGGAGACGCAGTAAGACAGGCAAACAAGAGAGACAGCCATCAAGTGGAGAGAGTAAGTGTGGTTTTACGCCACGTTTACAATAATCCAGCAACATCACGGCAGCTGACCCCGAAATAAGCTTCATACATTGCACCCATGTGGGGAATCGAACCCGGGGATTAGGTATGACGAGCGAACACTTTAACCACTAGGCCACCCGACCGCTCGAGAGAACAAAAGGAGGATGTGAAGGAAGACATTTAGACCCATTGGTCACGACTACCAGGAACTGTGTTATCTAAACTACACATACATCCGCTCACAAAGCCTCATCACCATGATCCGGTTCTAACGAAGCCTTGTCCCGCACAACAGATATCTACGTTCCCGACCTCAGGTCGTCTTTATTGTAAGTATGTACCTATATTCATATTCCTAAGTTGCATTTGCACGTTGTAAGTGTTGTAATCATATCTCAACGAACGCTGCAAGACGGATTATGCCACGTTGTAAATTGAAAATAAACTGACCATCTCGTGGGTTGGTAATGTATTCAGCATCAGTGTTGCAATGGATGAAATTAGCTCCGTCAGCGTGGCTAAATACTTGCTGTGTTTGACAGCTGGTTGATGAAAAAATATGATGTTAATCATGAGGTTTATATAATATATATATGTGTGTAAATATATCAATCAGTTTGTTTATACAGCATGTGTGGTCTCCGGCCCATATACAGATCATACAAGCAGCAGGTTGGAACTTGCAATTTACAAATTTGACGTCTCAGATGCATGATGCACATAAAGTTACAGATTAATGATAACATTTGTATCATTATATGCCTTTAAGTTGATGAAACTAGTTTTTTTATTATGGGATATACAGACGAACGGCATGTATTTAGATCTTAGGCTTTCATTAGCTCTTAGGCTTATCATAACAAAATGATATTCATCTTCGATCATATCTAACTTAATACTTTACACAGTCGCAGTGTTCTCATCACGTTATAATATCGCCCAGGTTCAACTTGTAATCTGACCATGCCAATACGCAGCTTCGTCAAGTCGCGACGATATAAGGCCGATATATAACAGTCACCATGTGTTAAATACAATCCCGGTTGTAAATTAATTTTAATGAAGAACAAGAATCATATCTGCTACTACTATAGATTTCCATTCCTGAGTTAAGATATCAGTAACACGTTGCTTAAATTCTGACAAGAATACTGCAACACTGCCATAGGAATATAGGTAAGGCACAAATATTACCTTAAATTATGCAGCTACATATGTGTGTGTGTATGTATGTGTGTGGAATCTGCGTGATTTAAGAACACATTTGTGCCTTACCTACTTTGTTACACACACACACACATATATATATATATATGTATGTGTGTGTGTGTGTGCGAATGTAGGTAAGGCACAAATGTTTTCTTAAATCACGCGCGTGTGTATTTATTTATTGAAAGGTTAATCTCAAAGATTTTCATGTAGCTCTTTTCTAATATTTCAACAGGAGTTTGATTACCCACTTGCTCGTACATGTAGTTTTAAAATATTCCATTAGTCTCTTCTAAGAGTAGTTTGTAAATTTAGAATATCCCTACATAATTTTAGAATTGTTACTTACAGGAGAAATAAAGACAGTGGTATAACTAGTTGTATCTGTATAAATTGTAATCTTGGAGCGATTGAAGATGAATACCATGTTTTTATGCGAATGTACAGAATATAATGAAATTCGGCAAAAGTACTTGCCACAGCTGAATGCCATGCCTCAATGTAAACAAAGCATGATAAAAGTATTGAACTCTAAATAAATGTTTAAGCATTATGTATGAAAATATCACGTGGCATTGTAAAATATTGTATCTTTCAATTGTATTATATGCCGTTAGGCCCGAATTACTGAATAAATATGTCTGTCTGTATGACTGTTATAAGACTGTTGAGAGCATAGAAAATTTGCCCCAAGAATTACATCGTTATGAGGTATAAATACTTATTTAGTGGCACAGTTTTAATTACAATTCTTTTTCGGTTTTAATATCAACATTTGCATAAAACATATATTTGTATAAAATATACCAGCGTGCTGACCGCGGTTTTAAACAATATTCATTCACTCCAGCTGGAGAAAATATTGATGATTGCGTTTTTAAAACGCAACAGAAATAGATAGAATAAATAAGTGTTTCCAACAAGGCGTAAAATTCCACAAGGAGGTCAAAATATAAATTCTGTGTATATAGAAATGAATTCACTGGTTGTACGAAAGCACATGGTGACAATTCACTTCCAAATCATTGTTAGTGTGTCACCGGAGAGCCATGCTGTTGTCGGCTGCAGTCGACCGCTTCGTAGAAACACGAGCAGGAAAACCTACTTGTGGGTCAGTGAATGCCGTTGGTTTCGTTTGTCTGTCGGGAATAAGTGTCATGGAACACAATATACATGTACAGTGAAACCCTTGAAATCCGGACCTCCTTTGTGCGGACCCCCGTTAGTCTGAAAACCCTTTCTTCCGGACAATCCCTGTTGGGAACGTTTGTTTCATGTAGTTGTGGTGCTGTGTGGTCCTGTGCATAGAGCCCAGTCACACATCAGCTGAAGTTAAGCAACGTTGGGCGCGGAGTGTCTTTGGATGGGTGACTGTGTTTGGCAGCTTGACTCCTGAGAGTTTCTAGGACTGCCCCACAGTGACACATGTGGTCTCACCTTAGGCAAATGAATTACTTCAAAACTGCCTCTGTTCACCCAGCAGAAAATGGTTACCCGGTGTTATATGTAATGTGATTATTAACCTTCTAGCGCCTCACAGGCAGCTCAGGTTATCTGGGGTAAAATTGTGCTGCGCTTTGATTGTTAGCACTATGATGGAGTTTAGTGCATTATAAATGCACTTGTTATTAGTTAAGGCCTGGTGACATTGGTGATTCCTTATTTTTTCGCATTTTTATTGAGAATACTGTACAAGTAAACTGTCGGAGAAAGGGAAGTGTGCACTTGCAAGTTTCACTTGTAAGCAACTACAAACGTTGTCAACACGTTACAGCCACCGACACACAGCAAACTATAGGTCCAAAATACACTTAGAAGCACACCTTCGATTAATCATTTTCCATTTGTGTCGATTATTATAGCCAACTTCAAGCTTTGGTGTATACTTTCGTTTATATTGGCAGTACGGAATTGCAAGAAAACAGGTTAGGAGAAAATATAAATTGAATCATTTATCTGTATTTATCTGAATTTTCTGTCCCTTTTGACACCGGTGTGATTGGCAAGTCTCAGGTAAAATACATGGCAAATATGCGGACCTCATCAAGAAAATGTCATGGCTGCGCGCCAATTACCAACTATTTCCGAATAAACTCTAGGAGCAAGAGGATCTCCTTGACGACAACCACGATGTATTTAACAGAATAATGAAGAAAAACGTTTTTCCAAAATGCCCAATTCAAGATCAGGATAATCGAGTTTTGTCCATGGTTTAAAAGAAGTACCGTATTTGAACAAATTCAGTACATCAACAAAAACAATTCAAAATGTATATTTCTGTGCCACATTTTAGTGAGTGAGTATGGTTTTACGCCGCTTTTAGCGATATCCCAGCAATATAACAGCGGGGGACACCAGAAATGGGCTTCACACATTGTATCCATGTTGGGAATCGAACCCGGGTCTTCGGCGTGACGAGCGAACGCTTTAACCACCAGGCTACCCCCATACGCCTCTGTGATTTACTTTAATATTGCTGACTACAGCCTAATTGGTGGGGACTATTTTAGTGGTCAATTTTAACGATTTGAGTGGAATGGAATCGTATCGCTTTGCATCAACATAATACGTTATGCTGTATGGTATTATATATGCACGTGCAATATTGTTAAAAACAAATGTCTAAGGTAATATCTCTAAATGGTAAACTGTTCAGAGTTAAGTCCCCTACTTGTATGTAGGATCCCAGTTCGAAACCCAGTTATCCCTAAATATAACCATTGATTTGTCAGAACAAAATTCGTGCTCACAGGCTTCACCAAAGAGATACAAGTATAACATCACTTCCTTGATAAGATCACTTGCTTGATAATGGTGTTGGTACCTACACCGAAATGTCGCACTCATTGCAGTAAAGAAGTTGACTATCCATAGAACTTGGTTTTCCCTAAGATCTGTAAAAATTTAAACGTGAAACTGACACACAGTGTTATGACTAAAATACTGTTCAATGTTAAACTCATGAATTACAGGTAAACTGTTGTTCTAACAGTCATTTCTGCTTTCAGGGTTAAAGGGCCCCGTGGACATCCTCTTGATGGAGGCAGAAACCGCCATCAGCAACATGACACCTTCTGAGCCTAACATATCATCAACAACGTTATGGACCAACGAGAACCCCGACTACTCGATCTCATCTATGAACACGACACCACAGACAGTTGGATCCTCCGAATATATGTTTGAAAGACACGGTGCAGAGATAATATTTCTTTTATCCATGTTCTTCTTCGCCATATTTGGTAACATCCTTGTCATCTACATCTACCACTTCCGGTGGAGGCGTTCCAACTTCAGCCTGTTTATTGAGGTGCTCGCATTTCTGGATCTCATCAACGCAAGCATTACCATTCCCTTGTTCCTGGTGATCACCTTTGACGAGAGTCGGGGCGATTTCGCTCAGCTGTGTCAAGGGGCGTCCTTTGTAGCGATTATGACTGCTATGGGATCGGGGGTGATTCTTGTTATCATTGCTTTTGATAGAAATCGTAAAATATGCAAACCTCTGAAGAGAGAAATCAGCCTTAGTCTGACTCGCAGATGCTGTCTCTTTGCCATTTTCCTGGGCATCTTATTAGCAATGCCATCCATCTTTATATACGGGGAAAAGGATATGCCTTTTGAGGTCAACGGAGTGAGACTAAATATCACACAGTGCTACTTTACAAAAAGCAGTGGCCCCCTATTTTGGTCATTCATGTCGCTCCTTGGATTTGTGTTCACAGTTGTCATGTTTGCACTGGGTGTGTTGTATGTGTCGATGTACAGGGCACTGAGGGTGCATCTAGCTCGCCGTGAATCTCTGGGGAGCTCCAGACGCCCGTCCACCACCAGCTGTAAGCCGAACACCATGAGATCGCAGAAGACGTCGGCGAAAATATTTTTCGCGGTGACAGTTGCTTTTTTCAGCAGTTACTTCCCTTTCTTCATCGCAGTGACAGTGTTCCTCTTCGGCTATCATGGCAGCGATTTGTCGCCTGGCGTAAAGGCTGTCGCTGACATCGCTAAGTTATCTCCACTCATGAGTAATGCTATCAACCCCATCATCTACAGCGTGTCTTCCCAACGTTTCAGGAAGGAGCTGGTCGATGTGTTCCGATGTGCAGCTCTGAAGCGAACACCATCGCAACGTGCGCGACAGATGGTGCATATCAAGACGCACACGTCATCAACAGTAGACTGAGGTTATCAACAATGGGAGCAACATGTGTGAAGTGCTACTGAGACTTTAGCTTAGACCGCATTGTCATCCAGGGCCCCATTGCACAAAGCGATCTTAACGCTAATGCCGTCTTGCGTCTGTGTTAGAGTATGTGAGTTACGATCATCGTTGATCGCTTTGTACATGATAGTCCAGGCCCCGATTTCTCGGAACAAATTTAAGTTTTTTCTCAAATTTTGACAATTTTGAAACAGCTGAATTTTTAACTCAACTGCATTTTTCAAATAAAACATCAAAACAACTTAAGTAATCTATCCACAAAACTCAAATTGACTTCTATGTTTAATATCACGTTCAGTTCATTCTGGGAAATGCAGTTTCTCAAATTTGAGTCAAAACTCATACTTAAGTTTGTTTCGAGAAATCAGGGCCAGATCAATTAATAAACTTTCAGGACAAAAGGGAAAGCGCACCCCTGCACCCCATCCCTCCCCCCACTTCCCCTCTCTGGATCCGCCTATGCCCAGAACCTGTGTCTTTGTATATAGTGATATTAATAACTGTATATTATAACTGCTTAAAATGAAACATTGAGGACTGAATAAATAAAATTGATGCTTTTCATATTGACTTTACCGCAATTTATGTCTTGAACTCAAAACTTTAACAAGGCTATCTCACTTCATTATTTAAGGGGTCAGTTGGATAGCCTTGGGGTTGAAGCGTTGGCCCAGTACGCCAAGGAGCAATTTTCTATTCCCAACATGGGTACATATGAAACGCATTTCTGGTGTCATCCCTTTGATTTGACTAGACTAGCGGGATCAGCACGCAATACCAACTCAATCCATTGAAAGTCTACTCAATAATTTAAAATATCTTGTTTCTAATATGTGGGCGGTGAGGTAGCCAAGTGGTTAAAGTGTACTGTCACGAATCTGACGACCATGTAGTGTCCAAGTAGGGGTACTGACGAACTATTGCTGAATACACCGAAGTTCCGGGTTCGAATCCCCACATGGGTACAATGTGTGAAGCCCATTTCTGGTGTCCCCCGCCTTGATATTGCTGGAATATTGCTAAAAGCGGCGTAAAACTAAACTCACTAACCCATTCACTCACACAACTGAGCGTTGTACACATTCTCGGTTTCTAAGAATTCTGTGTTTCCTAAGCACTTAATGGCGTGGCCTGAACGCCCTGCCTCTATGACATAGCGGAAATGGTGTGAGAAACGACTTCCGAATTGGGCTCTTATGCTAGGCGATTAGCTGCTCTTGATGCACAACGCTGTATTTCGCTCCTGGGAACCTTTGAATATTTCAATAGATGAAAAATACAAATGAGTTCAACGCCGCCTGTATGAACAATATTTCAGTCAACTCACCGCCGTCTGCTGAAGGGGGAATCATGCTTGTTCCAATTTTTGGTGGAACCCTAGATTAATGGTATGCTGGGATAAACCTGGAAACAATGAAATAAATTAGAGAGTATTAAGCATCTTCTGATTGTTCCATCTGTAAGTACGAGTACCTTTGAAGAAAGAACTTTCCAATTTGTTGCTCCCACACTGTGGAATCCACTACCAGACCACATTAAAATGGGACAATGTGTGAAGCCCATTGCTGGTGTCCCCCGCCGTGATATTGCTGGAATATTGCTAAAAGCGGCGTAAAAACTCACTCACTCACTTAACTAAACCCTGGAGCTACCACCACGGATCTACATGAAAGTCATATTATGCATCTGAGTCACCACAGATTTAAGTTCTGCTACGAATCTACATCCTACCATAGTTCTGAGTCTCAAATGAATTCGAGTCCACTAGACCAGAGTCGACGTCCAACCGTGTATCCAAACCCTGCCGAGGATCTGAGGCAAAAGACAGATCTGGTCCTACTCTGGAACTAACACTCACTACATATCTTGTTCCAATTTAGTCCCACCATGTAGTGAGTGAGGGAGTATGGTTTTACGCCTCTTTTAGCAGTATTCCATCAATATCATGGAGGGGGACACCAGACATGGACTTCACACATTTTACCCATGTGGGGAATCGAACCCGGATCTTCGGCGTGACGAGCGAACTCCATTACCACTAGTCTATCCCACCGCCCGTCCTATCTGAGCCCTTCTATACACCACATTGGCTTGTCACTCTAAACAACGTAAGACATTACAAAAACATCAAATTGAGCACTAAAACTAGTAAACTTATCATAAAGATACTCCTCATATAGTGATATTTCGTCACTGCCTTGTTCAGGAGCCAAACAGTCAAACAGACGTACATCAGTTCGGTAACAGGGTGAAGCGCTTCCCGTTAGGAAGGAAGGGTGAAACAGAGATAGGGACGTTGCCCTGCCGACTGAAACTGTGCTTTGTTTTGGAACCATGATATATCTGAATTGTATGATGACAGCTTTATAACGTTCAACAAAGTAAACATAATTGACTTCCTGTGACATTTCAGCATCTCTAACACGGAGATGTCATTAATTTGCGGTATACATCATTAACAAACATTATGTCTCATCATTGTGTGGTATATATCATTAATGTGCGAGATAGGTCATTAATGGGTGGTATACTTCATTAGCAAGCAACATATGTCATTACTGGGTGGTAAATGTCATTGACAAGCAGTATACCTCATTAATGTGTGGTATACTTGATTAACAAGCAGTATATGTCATTAATGTGTGGTATACGTCATTTACAAGCAGTATATGTCATTATTGGGTGGTATACGTCATTTACAAGCAGTATACGTCATTAACAAGCAGTATACGCCATTAATGTAACCGCCTCCGTGGTGTGGTGGTTAGAGCGTCCGCCCGGAGAGCGCGCAAGGTCGCGGGTTCGATCCCCGACCGCGCCATACCAAAAGATGTTAAAATATGGTACTTGTTGGTACCATAATGCGCTCGGCATTAATGGGTACAACAAGGACTGGTCGGCTCGGATTCAGTATAATGTGTCTGAGAGGGGTATTCATGCTTCACTGCGGCATGGTATCTCAGTGGGATACCACTATCAAACAAGCGTAAATCTGGGCAAGTACAAGCAGCCGCACATACACATACACACGCATGCACGTCGTCATATGAGCGAATTATTCTCAAGCAAGACGTAAAACCCAATTTCACCTCACCTCATTAATGTGTGGTATACTTCACTAACAAGCAGTATACATGTATATCATTACTGCGTGGTATACGTCATTTTCAAGCAGTATACGTCATTAATGTGTGATATGCTTCACAACAAGTAGTATATGTCATTACTGGGTGGTGCCATTACTGGGTGGTATACTCCATTAACAAGCAGTATATGTCATTACTGGTATACGTCATTTACAAGCAGTATACGTCATTAATGTGTGATATACTTCATCAACAAACAGTGTATGCCATTACTGGGTGGTATACTTCCATTAACAAGCAGTATATGTCATTACTGGTATACGTCATTTACAAGCAGTATACGTCATTAATGTGTGATATACTTCATCAACAAACAGTATATGTCATTACTGGGTGGTATACTCCATTAACAAGCAGTATATGTCATTACTGGTATACGTCATTTACAAGCAGTATACGTCATTAATGTGTGATATACTTCATCAACAAACAGTGTATGCCATTACTGGGTGGTATACTTCATGATCAAGCAGTGTACATCATTAATGTGTGGTATACTTCATTAAGAAACAGTATATGTCATTACTGGGTGGTATACTTCTTTAACACACAATATATGTAATTACTGGGTGGTATACTTCATTGACAAACAGTATATATCATTAATGGGGGGTACACTTCATGATCAAACAGTGTACGTCATTAATGTGTGGTATACTTCATTAAGAAACAGTATATATCATTAATGAGGGGTACACTTCATGATCAAGCAGTGTACGTCATTAATGTGTGGTATACTTCATTTAGAAACAGTAAATATCATTAATGGGGGGTACACCTCATGATCAAGCAGTGTACGTCATTAATGTGTGGTATACTTCATTAACACGCAGTATATGTCATTACTGGGTGGTATACTTCTTTAACACACAATATATATGTCATTACTGGGTGGTATACATCATTAACAAACAGTACATGTCATTAATGTGTAGTATTCTTCATTAACAAACAGTATACATGTATCTCATTACTGGGTGGTATACTTCATTAACAATTGCAAGTTGTATATGTCATTAATGTGTGGTATACTTCATTGACAAACAGTATATGTCATTAATGTGTGGTATTCTTCATTAACAAACAGTATATATCATTAATGGGGGTACACTTCATTAACACGCAGTATATGTCATTACTGGGTGGTATACTTCTTTAACACACAATATATGTCATTACTGGGTGGTATACATCATTAACAAACAGTACATGTCATTAATGTGTAGTATTCTTCATTAACAAACAGTATACATGTATCTCATTACTGGGTGGTATACTTCATTAACAATTGCAAGTTGTATATGTCATTAATGTGTGGTATACTTCATTGACAAACAGTATATGTCATTAATGTATTCTTCATTAACAAACAGTAATATATCATTAATGGGGTACACTTCATTAACACGCAGTATATGTCATTACTGGGTGGTATACTTCCTAACACACAATATATGTCATTACTGGGTGGTATACATCATTAACAGACAGTACATGTCATTAATGTGTAGTATTCTTCATTAACAAACAGTATACATGTATCTCATTACTGGGTGGTATACTTCATTAACAATTACAAGTTGTATATGTCATAAATGTGTGGTATACTTTATTGACAAACAGTATATGTCATTAATGTGTGGTATTCTTCATTAACAAACAGTATATATCATTAATGGGTGGTATACTTCATTAACACGCAGTATATGTCATTACTGGGTGGTATACTTCTTTAACACACAATATATGTCATTACTGGGTGGTATACATCATTAACAAACAGTACATGTCATTAATGTGTAGTATTCTTCATTAACAAACAGTATACATGTATCTCATTACTGGGTGGTATACTTCATTAACAATTGCAAGTTGTATATGTCATTAATGTGTGGTATACTTCATTGACAAACAGTATATGTCATTAATGTGTGGTATACTCATTAACAAACATCATATGTCATTACTGGGTGGTATACTTCATTAAGAAACAGTATATATCATTACTGCGTGGTATATATATCATTAACAAGCAGTATATGTCATTAAAGCGTGGTATATATCATTAATGTGCGAAGTATGTCATAAATGTGTGGCATATGTCATTAATTCTGGTGTACATCATGCGTCACTCATATGTATAGTACACGAATTGACATAGGGTACTGAACACATGCTTTGAACGTAATGGATAATAGGGGAAGCACATCTGAGCGTGCACGTCACGACAAGAATTCGACGTCTTTGACTTCAAGGAAGTGTACAAGCTGGACTGTTTGGGGCCTGGCGTTGTCATGCTGATGTAGGATACTGATATTGTTTACGGCGCCTTTAGCAATAAGACTAAAAACTAAAAATGGGACCCGAACCCGTGCCTTGAGTCCAACCCCCGAATGCTTTTATCACTAGGCTACCCCA